CCAACTATATATATATATATATATATATATATATATATATAAAAGGTTATGTTATGGTGCTCGTAAAGTAATTTATAATTGTAGTCAATAAATTTTTGAACACTTGTAAAGATAGAGAGAGAGGGGGTAGGGAATCTTGAGTTTTCCTTTGAAGTGAGATTCTTCTCTTAGTATTTGAGCGTTGGTGTTGCTGTTGATGGTTACTGAGATTTTATGTACTTGGGGTAGATAAATGCTGCTCTAAAGCAAGGCGTGGAAGGGGTGAGATCTTTAGTTTTCAAAGGCTTTGATGACAGCATCAATCGATTTAACCTTCGCCAGAAGTACAAGTACCACAAGGTGTGATGAAGATTTTCTAAGAGATGTGAAACTGCTCAGTTGGATTGTAATTTATGTCATTGTAATCTATTCTTCTTTATTCTTGATCATCATTTATTTTTTGGAAATGTTGAGTACTTTCTTTGGACCATGAGTTACTGATGTGCCAAGCCTTTCCGAAATCAAGGCCTACGATCGTATTTGTCCCCAGTGAATGCATGTTTGTGGGTATGGAACCCCGAAAATGATGCTGATTTTGGAAAGTAACGTGAATGCTACAATAATTTCTGAACGTTTTTTTCTTCTCTCTCTCTCTATATATATATATATATATATGTAAACCAATGCTTGAAAGCCCTAATTGGTGATCCGGGTTGGCTGGATTTGGCCTTAAAAAAAAATTAAAAAAATCACTGAAAAGTCATTATAAATGATGCGTAAAAAATACGTGAATATTGAGATGTTTCTTGTTGGAATATCGGTTGACTATTGAATATTTTAGGGTTTTCGAACTCTAAAATTTTGATTGAAGATAACTTCCTCTTTGAAAAATTGGATTTGGCAATTGAAATGGCTCTGAACAATGGCCGCCAGGTATGTATCTTTCCTTGTGTAGACGCTCGAGCCGAAGGCATAGAAGGGAGAGAGAGAGATCCAAATGCTCATAATAACAGCACAATATTGGTTTTAATTTAAATATGGATGTATTATCAAAGTTCTTATTTAACTACTGAGTTACTAAAATTATGTTTCTGATTATTTATATTGTAAATTTTATTTCTTGGATTTATTTCCAACCAATCATTTTCTACTTTTTGACATGAGTACCTATTTTATGGTGGAAAATTGATCTCATTATTTACATTTTAGTAGGAGTTGCTGTATTTAACTTATAATATATAAATTTTTAAAACACTTTTTAGTTTCAATTTTTTATTTTTCATTTTGATTTGTTTTATTTAGAATAAAATATATAATGCAAGAGGTAGTATTTATTAAATTGAAGCAAAAGTGCTATCTTTTAAGTAATCGATCATGCCAAGCCCATGCATGGCTATGCTAATTGTCGGTCTCTCTCTAAAGTCACTAAAAATCTTTGTAAATAAGAATGCTACTATTATGCTAATTGCCGGTCCAAGGCTTAGTCCCACATCTATGAAAAGTTAATGGGGTGCATGGCACCATAAAAGTGGCTTTGCCTCCCAAATTGATGAGTTAAAGCTTGTGTAAGGCCTACCAGGCCCAAGCTGACCATCTCTTAGTGAATGGTGAATTTAAAATAAAGAAATTTCAAATAATAGAAAAATAATCCCAATTTTGAGTGAAGAAACAAAATGTGGAACCGACTTAGTCACCAGTTTATTGTAGAGGCGGTTATGTCAGAGAATCAGGTGGTCTTTCTAGAATTGGTCGGCTCCTGTAATGAGGGAATTGGTACAAACCCACCGATTTCGGATATAGATTGGACGATTTCGATTTGGATTGGTTTTTTTTAAAACCCTGGTTTAGACCCACTTTGATGTAACAACTATTGGGTTGGCTAGGTTATAGGACGAGAAATTGACACACTTAGAAAATAAATAAGATTAAAAAATAAATTATTTTTATCTCTAAAATGTTATGTACATTTTTTCCTCATCTTTCTCTCTCTCTCTCACGCCATCTCCCTATTTCCTCTGTTACGTCTATCTCCCTATATTTTCTCACGTCCATATCCCTATTTCTTTCCTTAAAGATCACTTCTTAATTTATTTCCTAAATTCCTCCCACTAACAATTATGCATCAAAATCCTCACACTTAACCACTCATATACCAAAATCCTCTCTCCTCCCACTTAATTTATCCTATTGCGATTCCTATTCCTAATAAAAATAATAATAATACTAAAATTTTGATTTTTTTTTAATTTCTTTTTCCGCATCACCTAAGTCCACAAACCCACTTATTAAGTGTTTTTCTCTGGCAAAGATTAAAAAAAAACATCATTGTATATTATTATATTACAACTATGATCAGAAGTTCAGTCCATAAAATCACTGTAAAGTTGATTTTGATGGAGGGATATTGGCTAGAAGAGGAGGAAATTCACAGGTGACAGTTGAAGGGGTAGAGAAACTACCTTATACCTAAGTACATACTTTCACTCCCGAAACAATACGAGGGAAGTGAATAGTTAAAGGGTGTGGGTTGCATAAGGTTCGAATCTTAAATAATCCAATTAAAGCGCACATTTAAATTTTATTATAAGATGTAATTTTAGTATAAAAAATTTTTAGGATTGTCTGAAAATCTATTTCTAACTCTAATTATAAAATTTTAAAATCCAAAAATAATTCAAATCAAGCAAATCTATAAACATAAGAAAATCTTGAGAATGTTCAAAAAACATATCAAAATCTTGAAAATAGAAGTTTAGATAATATGTTGCAAACACACTATTATTAGGACTTATTTTTTTTTCATATTCATATATCTCGATGTCGAGATGATCAATTAGAGAGTTCTTAACATTAAAATAATATTTTTCGATAGATTTTGAGGTGCAACCTTAATTCTACATTTTAAAGTCACAATCTTATATAATGTTCTTCTACAGTCTAAATGTTAGAAATGTGGCCAATTAGGCCTTTTTTCTCTCAGAAATTCATATTTTCAATAATGGTACAAAAGTCATATTGAAGTATATGTAAAATCTCATGTGCTTAGCATGAGACAATACCATATACATGAATTTATTTTTGAGCTTTAATAGGATGTATCACTGAAGGAAAAAACCCAATATTACTGGATGGAAAACCCAGTGGTGTGTTTGGATTCCTTGTAAATTATGGGAATGCTTGAATGACATCCTATTATATGAGTAATTAGTGAATTAATGACATGTTTGGCTCATTACATAGGATTAACAGTTTGATGACAATTTGTTAATCTTAATTAACTACACTTAAGAGAATTAAAACTTGAGTTATACTTGGATCTCAACTCCAATAGACCATGAATATAAGAGTTACTAAATAAAGGTGTTCTCTATAAAAATGAGGTTAACTCCTCTAGAAAAGAAACATAAGGATATAAAAGAGGTGAATTGAGATTCACCAAAGAGGACTTTCAAGGTTGTTTGTCACCGGATGTCTTGGTCTATAGGATTTGGTAAGGAACCTTAAGTCCCTCGTGTGATTTAAGAACATATCCGAATAAATTCTTTATCAATTCCAATTTTATTTACTTATTATTATTTTTATTGAGACAAACACTAAAGACAACGAACTACTATTATCATTGATTCAAGGAATACTGAGAATTTCCTGGATCCACAATTTACCAACAAACTTGGGTCTCGTATTGTCTCTTGAGAGCATTGTAAAGCGATGGTGGTCAATGATGAGCAAAATTTTCATTTTTAAAATAGTGGGGCATCTTCATCTAAATTTGTGTCCCATTCTTTTGGATATTGTGGAGCTTTCCATACGTTTAGGATTGAAGACATTTAGAGGTCATTTGGTTCCTATGAAAACTTGCATCATTCAACAATTTTCATATGAAACATAAAGTTGGGCAAGTTTGGTTCGTGCCCATGAAAACTTGTCCCATGGGTTAAGTCTTCTCCCAATATGGGGCATAAATCATGCAAAAACAAGTCCCCACTTTACAAGGTGGGTAACAGGCTTACTGGGAGTTAGACGCGAAATAAATATAAAAAAGTTCAGCGTGATGGTTTAAAAAAAAAAAACAAAATTATTTTATGGGTACGTAGGAGCCCGTTGACTTACAAACGTCCATCTTATCTATGGACGTTATCTAAAAGTGAATTGTCCATAAATAAAATATAGACTATGCATAAAAAATACTAAAAAAAATTATATTTATAATTACAATTTTAATTTTAATATATATTTTTTTCATATTTATGATCATCTTGACTTAGATAATGAATCTAAAAAAAAAATATCTAAAATGAATTTTAGTGGGGGCCGTACATGTACATATGAGTCGGTCGACTCATAGAAACCCATGAAAAAATCAGCGCCTCCTTTTGAAAACTTCCCTACTCGCTCTCTCAACCCCGTGTCCTCTCCCTCAACTCTGCTCTTCTCTCTCTCCTCTCTCTCGAACGAGAATCACTTTCGAAGTCTCGTCAACTTCAACATTCTTCATCTTTTTCAACTAGGTAAGGTTTTTTATTTTTATTTTTTTGACCTTTTTGCTGGTTTTCTTTTTATTTATTTATTGCTGGTTTTTCATTTATTTATTTTTGTTGGATATAAATCATTGTTTTTGCTGGTTTTTCTTTTAGTTATTTATGTTGGATACAAATCATTGTGTATGAGGTTGTTGATGACTCCATGAGATTGATGGTGTATTTGCTCTGCATCTAATGGCAAAAACAAATTTATCCTAACGGTGTGCTCTATTTATCAGCATCTAATGGTAAAAACATAATGTTTTCTAACTTTGATATATGGGTTTGCTTACTTGGGGTAAATAGAACCAGCATTATAGCCATAGCGCGAGGAGTTTTTTTTTTTGCTTTTTTCTGGTTTTTTATTTTTACTATTGGTTTTTTTAATTTTTACTAGCTTTGCTTCTACTTTTTTATGTTGGATATAGAAGTTCCATTTGCCATGTAAAAAGGGTATGGTTTTTTTTGGTCGTATTTTTCTATTTTGTTCTTGTATTTTTTGAAGTTTTTTTCGTTTAATTTTACTGCTTCTTTTCTTATTTTTTTGTTGGCTGCAGAAGCTCTATTTTAATCTGTGAAAACACTTAGGTATGGGTTTTTTTTTGTTTTATTTTTCCTGGTTTTTCCTATTAGATTTTGGTTGTTTTTTTTTTTGGCCCCCCATGGAAGCAGTTTTTTTTCTAGAATACTTTTAACCTCCTAGTTCTACAGCAATAACGATTCCAAAAGGGAAAAAAATCAAGAGTTATTTGTTTTTTCAGTAATCCATTGAAAACCCACTTTATATTTTGTTTATTTATTGGATTGGTCAAGTGAAATAGTGAACCTGATATATATGGGATTAAGGATGATTTGATTTGTTTGTGCTTTTTGGAAAATTTTAATGACACAAATGAGGGAATATGTTTTGGATTCTCAATTCCATGGTGTTGACTATAAAAAATCTTGGACCTTCTACGATCCAATGGAGAACTTGGATGCTTGATGTCTGTCACACCTTTTTCTTAAGAAGTTTCTGTCTAATTTTTTTCATCTTTACATCTGCTTACTACTTTGATTAATTAAGTCAAGAGTAATTAGAATATTGTATCTCCCTAACAACAAGGAATTAGCACCTCCAGGACTTTTTCAAAGGGCAGTTTGTGTAGTAAATACATATTTTCTTTAAACTCCTCTTCTTGCAAGAGAATCTACTCCCAAATTTGACTCTCACTAAGATTTTTGTTGCACCTTTGAAGGTGCAATTTGTTTCAATTTTGAGATCCCTTAAGATGAATATAGAGGCAGGTATTATGCAATCATCTTTGTCAGACCTTTGGAGGTTCATATTTGTTCTAGGTGAATTCTACCTTGTAGATGCAGGCTATCCCAATAGACGTAGCTTCATGACATCGTACCGTGCAACTCATTAACATCTTCAGGTCTATTGAGGTGGTAATAATTCGAGGACAAGAGATGAACTATTTAATTGTCGACACTCATCTCTGTGTAATGTTGTTGAGTGCACATTTGGTCTAAGGAAGGCACACTTCCCAATCTTACGTAAGCAATTTCACTATGTATTTCAAACTCAGGTCAGTATCGTCATTGCCATGTCATTGCCACGTGTATATTACATAACTATATCAGGATGACAAGAGCTGTTGTCACTGATCTGATGAGGCGTCAAGGTTTGAGAACGCTGCATTAGAACATGCTGATCAAATGGTGCAAGAGACCATAACTTATCATCAGAGCAGGGATGACATTGCTACAAAGTTATGCGACGAAAATGCTAATGCAATGTGGGAATGATATCAAAATAGGGTTTAGGATGTAGTAGTTGTGATGGTACTACACTCCTCATTTTCTTTTACCTATGGGTTACCAAACATAAGAAACTGGGTACACAGGAATCCCAGACATGTGAACCAAATATAGGAAAAAACAGGATTGGTAAACTCTTGCTCAGGGAACTGTATACATATGAATATTGTTTTACATATGCAAACTGTTACACATGAACCACACGAGCCCTAATGCCTACTGCTAGGTTTCCAACGTATCTATCTAGGTGGTTCGTGCGTATTTTCTCATTTTTTTTCTTTCTAAAAGCTCAAGGAGTTTCTTTCAATATAGTTTGTTAACATTTTGCTTTGATTTTAGGGTTTCGTAGCTTCTGACTAGCTATAAAAAGGTCCAGTCCATGGCTGAAACACTCTCGAACATGGAAGAAGAAACCCTAACTGTTTTTGATGGAGACAAAGCACCTTTATCCCCAGAAGATATCCCAAATGGTTTGTTCAGTCCACTGATTTTTGATTCTTCAGCTTCACTTTCAAGGAACATTCTCCTTGTTGAAAGAATGATATCATTTTCGCTATTTTTTATGTGTTATTTCTTCTTGTACTCTGTTAATCTGTTTTCCGTTTTGTTTAATTACAGTAGAAAGAGGCGAGAGCAATTATGAAGAAGCAGAAGAAGCCATGGAAGCTCCAGTTAGCCTGCACTGTGTGATGAAACTGAAAGAACTATTGAGGAATATTTGTTCAGTGGACTCCAGAAGTGTTCGTAGTTCTTCAAAAGAGTTCATTCGGTTGCTTCGAGGTGATTCAGGAGGTCAATTATTACATAAATATGTTCGTGCTTCTCCTCTTTGTACAGAGCTCTCAGAAGCATGGAAATTGCGCTCTGAGAAAAAGACTGGCCTTTCTTATGTTCTCTCTCTGATTTCTGTTATTTTTGAACTGCCTCATGGTAAAAGGGTTCTTTATTTTGGTGAATTTGATGCTGAAGCCAAGGCTAAGCACTCTGTGAGCAAGAGGCTCGACACGTTTGCTCGATTATTGCTTGAAACTAGGATGGAAGATGTGTATTCAGAGATTAATAGTAAAGAAATCAAGCGACAGAATGCTGCGCTATTGCTCATGGCTTCGATTGTGAGGCGCGGTATTGGGTTGGCATCAGAAGTTGCAAAAAGATTTGATTTTTCTATGAAGATCTTTCCCAAACTTGCTGAAAATAGGCCAAGGAAAGACAGAGAGAAGAATCGCAAAGTTGGTTCGACCAGGGCTGCTTTCATTCAATTTGCCATGTCATTTTTGGAAGTGGGTAGCCCCAAATTATTGAGATGGATTCTTCAGAAGAAGGACATGTATTCTGGGGTATTAAGGGGTTTGGCATGTGATAGTGAGAGAACCATTGTTAATGTTCTTAGTGTTTTGCAAGCCAGGGTTCTTTGCAAGGATTCTTTGGTGCCACCTGGTCTTCAGAGTGTTTTGTTTGGTGATGTTACTCTTGGGCAGATGAGCCTTATATCTGGAAATTTGGATGCAAAAAGTGCAGCTGAGATGGCCCATGAGACCCTTTTGATGGTTTGCACTGATCCCTCGCATGGGTTGATGCCTGACCTTTCAGAGAAGTGGGGGACTATGGGTTTGTCTGAAAATTCAAAGTTGAAGGGTAATCCTGCAAGACTTCTGAGGCTTATGCTTAAGCTGAGGCCTACTGAGGTTGGATATCATAGGGACCTTCTCTTGGCTATTGTACAGGGCAGGCCCTTGTTGGGTTCATCTTACATGGATTCATTTCCATATAATCTTGAGCCTCGTGAATCTCCCACCTGGTTAGTTCCGATATGCTTTTCTTGTTAGTTTCCAAATTTATTGCTTTGTTTATCGTTATTGAGCTGGTCTTGTCACATTTGATATGTTTTGTATAAAGAATAGATGCATAAAAAGAAAAATGGGCTGAATGCAGTATCAATGAATTCCTGATGGCAGCTCTTCTTCCAATCAGGCCATTCAACTTGCGGAATAGACTTTGTAAACTTGTATACATGTATGTGTGTTTGTATCTATGCATGTGAGCACGCAAGTGCACACACCTCTACATACGTAAGTATGTGTTCACATGCATCTTTATACATGCCGTTTTTTCTTTGGTGGGTAAATCCATGGCTTTTTTAGTTTATTTTATTTTGGGTGGTTTTGTGGCTGTTTTGCCTAATTGCGAAGCCAAGAGGCCAAATCCCCATTCTTAATCTTTTCATTTGCTGGAATGTTACCTGTTTCCATATGTAACTGTTGCAGGTTTTCGGCTGTTTCACTTGCATCTGACTTGATTTTTGCTGCCAAATCAATCCTGCCATTTGCTTCCCTTGCTAAAAGAGGCTTCAATCCACCTTCTATGGAGAGTACCGAAATAAAAAGTGTTCTAAAGTGCATAGTGCCTCGTTCATTTACTCGAGTGGTTATCAATAGGGGCTTACTCCACTCAGACATCTATATAAAGCATGCTTCCTTACGACTTCTCTTGGAGGCATTAAAGTCATTAAACAACTTAGTTGATGCAATAAGTGATGCATTGGAGTGCATGAGTGTGGAGCCTCCTGAAGCTCATGCTGGTTCAATAGACTTGCGTCAATTAATGCCTGGGAATAAATTAGGTAGTATAGAAGGTTTGTCCGGAATTGATGCATTGTCCAATACAAGTAAGTGTCTTCACACTGATTTAGTTGTCAATGGTTGCACCCAAAAGTCAATTAAGCATAAATGGCTGTCATTAAAGCAAGAAGTTCAGATTGAATTAAGATCCGTGCTGCCTGATCCTCAGGTTCTGTTAAAACTTCTTTCCATCCCAAAATGCTACACTGTGAAAAATGACGAGACATGGCGAAAGAGAGAAAGATATTCTGATTCATGTGGAAATCGTACTAAGAGGCCGAAACAAGATGCCATTGATGAAGATATTGATATATGTGTAAACAGGCTTAATGGGGACTGGGCGGCTTCTAATTTTGGAGATGGTGAAACTGTGAATGTGGAATCAGTTGCAGAAGAGTTGGTTAGTGAAGAGGATCCTTTAAAACCAATGGCTGAAGTTTGGGGGTTATCTGATTCCTCAGGGATATGCGAAGAATTGAAGGATACAAATGTGTACTTCCAGTCAAAGCTATTGGATGCATTAACTCTTTACTTGGTAAGTTCACTTAGTATGTATATCTTTCTACGCGATAGGTAGATCAAGTATTTTAAAATCATCTGCGTTGTTACATCATTTTCTACCCGACTTTGGCGCTTCTTCAATGGGCACATCTGTTGTTTATCCCATTTATGCTTTTAAACATTTTCAATAGCCCTTTAAGTTGTAAAGGGACCGGAGGCTTCTAGGTTTTTCCTCTAGGATAATTGGGCTTCTTTCTCTCTCATCCAATTAAACTTAATTTTTGTTCTTTCCTGTTCGTTCATTATGTATATGTCTTTACTTTTTTTTGCTTTTGAGTAGATCTTTATTATGTCCTTCCATTTGATTAATGCATTGCTATAATAAGTAAAGGAAAAAGTTTATATAGGGATGCCACCTTATAATGTAGAACTACGGATGCCCCTCACAAATCCATCGGAAAAGGTAGTTATAATGTTGAAAATCCCTTTGATTGATCATCTTGACATCGTGTGTATGACCGTGAAAAATTAAAAGATTTTAAGTCTAAAAAATAGTGCATCTTACAACATATTATCTGCATCATCCATTTTCAAGATTTTCATATGTTTATAGATCTACTTGATTTTAACCATTTTTTAAATTTAAAATTTTATAGTTAGATATAAAAATAGATATTTGAGATAATCCTAATAACATTTTGCATCAAAATTATATACCATGATAAAAGTTGAAGGTGCACCTTACCTCTACAGCTACGGATGCATCTGTATGCCAACTGCACCCATAAGTAAAAGGTTTGATTTTGTAATCAAGATCATTCCCAATCCTTTTTCTTGGTTGGCATTGCCTTCCTTTGTTGATGGCCTTAGCAAATCTGAAGCAATTCCCACACCTCCTTTGCTGCCAAAGCATGATTAGATGAGGTGCTCAACTATTTTTCCATCCATTGGATAAGGAAGGAGGAGAGGGGAGTGGGGTGCTGGGAACTGCAATGAGGTTGTAATACTCTGCGTGCTTCAATGACTAGCCATGGTCAATTGAGTCTACAATTTCCTTTATAGGTTCAATTTCTAAACATCAAACTGCACATTCCTATTCCGCAAACCTTATCTACTTGATAACACAGCCAATCTTCATTGCAGTCCTTTGAACGTGTATAATAGAATCTTGAATCCTTGCGTAACAATATAGTTGACTTTTTTAGTTCGAAAAAAGAAAGAAGGTGAAGTGGGTTTTACAGAGTTAGAAACCACATAGATAAACTTACATATATGAACAAGAAACCTTCATTTAGTAGAAATAATGGCTTCAAGGACAAAGAAGGAACCTCAAGAAGAATAGTAGAAGAAGTGTAATGCACTGTGAGGATAAAAGAAATGCTGTTGCTTTATGACTACTTCTTTCTTGTATTCTCAAACTGTGCTTCTCTAGCAAAGAAATGAGAGAGGAGTCCTACCAAAAATCCTAATCAGTTTGTATAGTTGCTTTATATATAGGATATGTTTGGGTCTTTTTTATATGTGTGCCCATACATATTGTTGGGGTTTGTGGCCTTTAAAGGCCTTGAGAACATGTAAAAATAAATAATTCATAGTGGATGTTCACACTCTAGTGGGAGTTTTGGTTGACCGACCTTAGGTTGGTCGGTCTATGACCAAGGCCATGTCCAAAACTCTTACCCTTGGGCATAGGCACTACTGTTGAGGGTTTATGTAGGCCATCCTTTGTTGGGGTTGGAGAGATGCTTAGGGAAACTGATGAGAGACGGGAAACCGCTGGGATTCTTGTATATGGTTGCAGGTCTGTGAAGGCATGGGTGAAATCCTCAACAACAACTACACGATATGTACAAATGACATCTGCATTCTACGAATCAGCCCTACAGAAGGAACTCTGTACACATGTATAAGAGAGTATCCACCTTGCACTATAATGAGATATATGTGTTTGCATCTTTATGGATATGACTTGCTTCTAGGTGGAGAACGTATAATCTACACATTAGATTCTTTGTTTTTTCTATTTGTTGGTAAGCTTTATTGGGTCAATCATGAGACCCTGCAATTGATTGTAGGGCATGGGTCTCGTTGGGGGTCGGTTTGAGAATATAGCTGTGGATCATAGATTTTCAGCTTACATGGACTGCTTTGGAAAGTCACTTTTCTTGACTCATTAGTACCAATCATCTTCTAGAATTATTTTATTGTGATTCATATTTTTTTCGGGACCCTATTTCCAAATTTTTTATTTCCTTATGATTTCTAAAGCTTTTGGAAATTAAAACTTCATTTTATTTAATTAAAATTTTCATAAGGGTGTTTTTGATATTATTATTATTTTTACGACCTTATCAATATGAGGGACACATGTGGGGTCAAATGCTATGGCCCCATGTGCCATTGGCATCCCACTTTGTTTGGATATGGGCCTCACATTTGACTTTTTTCCTTTAACGTCTTTCTTTCCTAGTATAGCTAGGAATTGTGTAAGGCTTGAGTTATCAAATCAACCCAACGAGACTTATGATCCACAGTCTCATGCAGGGGTTCATGATTGGCTCATTAAAACTGGCCAATAAATAGAGCAACCATGGTTCCTAACCCTTAAGAGCAAGCCACTAGTACATATCACTACAGTGCAAGGGGGACTCTTTCGATCACATGTACACGTATCTTTTTGCAAGGTTGCTCCCCGGTATGTTGCTGTCATGCGTACATGACGTGCGGAAGTTTGTTTAGGATTTAACCCTTGCCCTCACTGTCATACATTCACACACAGGAGACCACGGAGCTCTCCTGGTCTACAAAATATCCCTGGGTATCTATTTGATCTTAACAAGGGATGACCTTCTGTAAACTCTCTATTGTATTGCATATGTCCAGGGGAAAGGGTTTTGGACATGACTAGGGCTATAGACCGCCTAACCTTACGTTAGTCAACCAACACACACGTAGTCCCACTGAAGTCTATATTCTTTATTTCATGCTCTCACGTGTTATAAAGGCCACAAACCCCAAAAGAGAAATAGCATGTGCTATATGGAGATGTGGATTAATCAATAAAATTTGCTAAGCCTATCCGACCTTTTAAAAAAAGTATTTGTTATTTTCTACAAATTAATAACTATTTTGCTTATGTGCAATAACAAATATACTCATTTATACCTTTTATTACTCTTGAAAATTCATACATGCCAGACTCAAATATGCCATCCTGCATTTTGATATCATCATCATCATCCAAGTCTTATTCCAATTAATTGGTGATGAGGCAAAGTTTACGCTGACTGCCTACATAATGCAACCCACCTCCTTTTGTCGGGTTTGGGATGGGTTAAGGGAAAGTTTAAGGTCCTCACCCTTATTAGACCATGCATTCATATATATATATATATATATATATATATATATATATGTGTGTGTGTGTGTGTAGTAATTAACGTAGTACGAGACAACAAGTCGTTTGTGCTATTCGTACTTACTTACGTTAGTAAACGTAAAAGTAACTACGTATAGTATTTAGTTATTGTT